AATGATTATCCTAATTATATTTTAGATTTTTTATATTTAAAATTAGATGTTTATCATGTATTTGCTTGTGTTTATCTGCAGTTAGTTATACGAATTCAGACATGGGATGAAATCGGATAGGGATGAAATCTGATTTAAAAGTTTTAATAAGTTTTAAGAGTTTTTAAGAGTTTTAGCCAAATGCTTTATAATATAGTATATATATATATATATATATATATATATATATATATATATATATATAAAGTACATTGCATTGTGGCAATTGGAAAAAAAAAGGACAATTTCCCAACATAATGGCATTTGAAGCAGCACAACAAACATTAAGATGACTGCAAATAGAGCAGCATATATTTGTCTTCCTACAAGGGGCAAACAGACCACTCCAGAGTCCAGATGCACCCTTTTCTTCCTAACTAAAATAATGCATATAAAAACACCCAAATCAGGAAGGAGAGAAAAAAGAGACAAATAATCAACAAAATCAAACCTTTCAACTTCAATCATTTTCATTTCAACTACCATTGACAAAATGTGGTTTCGATTTAAAAACAAAGTGATCATCTATCGGAAAGAAGCAGTCAACTACTACTGCGCTTGTAATGCTCTTTGATGAATTTTTCTGCATAAGACGGGTATTTGTGTCTAATATATGCTCGAATGCATTTCTGATAAGAGAAGTCGATCCATACACCATCGAATCTCACAACAAATAGGCATCTTGAGTTTCTGAACTGTGGATGCCGATCAACCTTCAACATTAACAAAGCTAATTAGCATTAATAACTATATCAAGCATGGACAATGGAGAAAAAAAGGGTAATTGTGTGGAAGAATTAATTTAGCATAAAAGTCTGGTTAAGTTCTTTGATCCGAGATCTACATGACAACTGTTGTGGGCCAACAACGGCTCTTGATTTCTGAAGACAAAGACTTCTTAAGTGAATTAGACAGGCAAAGACTGATTGGCAATGTGGTTAGGTATTATTAGCTGTTACAAATAAAGAATGTTATGAAAGAACCATGAAATGTCAAAGATAACCATGGGAAATTTTGGACTTGAAGGAGTATAAAAGGTGGTTGTTTAATGGAGCTACATAGAAGATACTATAGTATTAAAAGCAGTTGTTGTCAATGTGAACATATTGATTACACAATGTATAGCATGAAAAGTGACACAAAGGTGAAGCACCTTTGATGCATTTCACATATAAAAGTCATGAAAATTAAATGTCCATACGTTTCGTCATCAATCATGATAGAATTTTTTTATTTCTCGCAACAAAAGTAGCTGCAAGGCATCAAGAGTATGATCACACAGACACTATAAAACCGTTAGGCCCTAACCCCTTGTTCAACTTTTTATTACAATATAATTTAATGGAAAAGTAGGGATCTTTACGAATATTAAGTTTTTGACTACAAGATTCATACTAATTGTTTGAACCATTGTCCATGTATAAGTTCCTGAAAGTATTTATTATGGTCCACTTCGGATTTTGAATATTTAAACCTTGCAGTTTTCAAGATATAAATCAACAACGGCGTAGTAGTATCTTAGCTCGCAAAACTGATCTCTTATAGATCAAGATCATTGCTTTCATAATGAATACTAACTAGCAAAAAAGTGATTTAGGATTGAGACTTTGATAGGCAGGGAACTAAGAAAAAAGAGAATTGTGGAACACAAGGATAGTTGAAGATGATTTCTAGTAGCAAGTATCATTATGCAGAAACCTCACAAGGTAGGATAGTCTAGCTTTGGTTTTGTATCATAGGAGGGCAATTAAAGCATGAAGGTACTAATTACCAGCCGCTGCAAACAGCAAGGCTTCATGGACGAGTGCAGAGACTTCAAAAGAAAAATGATGCCGTTTTTCAAATTTGTGGTGAAAGGCAAGACCCCATAATTATACCAACAGCAGCAAGGTGTTGTATCGACGTTAAAAAGGGATGAGAGCGTGACAGCCACAACAGATGTTTATCATAGAGGGAACAACTTGACTGCATGGTGGCAGTTAAGGGACTTCAAAGCCTCTGTTCTGAGAATTAACTGATCTTGCTAATAGCATCACAAGGTAAAAAATAATCTAGTGAAGAATATTCTTGATCCTGTTATCAGAAGTTCTCTTTGGTGCTGGTGGACAAGGGAAATGTGATGATGGAGAAGACAAGTAATGATCAAAGAAAACCATGAGTGTTTGTTGTCAGTAGACATAGAATTTTTTGATCTTGAATTGGAAACAATGAAGTTACATATCTGTCCTTTCTGTAAATTGGAAATCATAAAAAGGAAAGGTCTCATTGTCCAACTAATTGCACAAAGAAATATTACTCATTAAGCAGGTAGCATAACAGTATCAAGATACATATGCTTGCAAGTGTGTAACCCAAAGAGTGAGGTTAAATGCAGGTTTCAACAAGATAATGGTAAATCCACACCAAAAAAGAAGAGAGGGAGAACATCACAATGGTTGACGCCTATACACTAGTCTATGAGCCCAAATAAACCAGAATGCACTCAACTATCAAATACTTGAGTAAAATTGTGTGTGACTATAATTATAAATGGAAACCAGAAAGGTCAATTTCAAATGCTAGCATTTAGCACGGAGTATCCAAGGAAAACTGTAAGCAGATGTACTGAAACGAAATTTATAGAAGATTTTATACAACTCACCATAATAGAATCAAGGCCACACCCAATCTTATCTTCAGAGTGAGGATGATAAGCAAGAAGCTTCTCTACCACAGTTTTCTCGTCTGTTGGTGTAAGTTGCTCTCCATCCATATACCTGATAGCAGGAAAGGCAGTTGTAATTATGATATCATTCGACAATCTATGCATTTGTATTAAAATACTCATCAGTATAGAGCATTTATCAACCAGCTACATTTACAAATATAAAGTAGTGACCATTAAGGCATTTGCTTGCTAGCAATTTTGAATGGCAACAAGTTTGAAGAATTGGGCCACCCAATGAATAAGATATGCATGTTCCATTTGGAAAGAAATCCAACCAAAAAAGTAAGTAGTAAGAGGAGGGATGCCACTCTCATGGTAGCAGACTTCTGTTGTCTCAAGTACAAGCCACAATCTGGGAAGATGTGGTTTGGTGGAAGAATGTCCATCTTGTCACAAGGCCAAGGCTCGTGTCCCAAAATTGTGCAATACACACCTTTGGTTCTTATCCTTACATGGGTATATTAGTCTTTGAATTTTATGCTTAGTGCCATGGATCACCCAAGTTGACTGAGGTACGGGCCAACACAGCGGATGACTAACTGCCCAACAAATGCTCTCCATCACTTTGTAGATTTTCTAGGGAGATCTTTTATCCGTGATATTCCAGGACACTCTTGTATCATTTAAGTTTTTCTAGAATTCTCAGGATGTTTAGATATATCCTAGATATCTGGTGGCAGGACCTAGAATATTCCTAGATCTCGAATTCTCTGTTGAGGTAGACTCCTATATAACACGAAGGACGACTTCATTTGTCATCATCCAACAAAATATCTGTCATTCAAGAAATTCCTGTCCACATACAAATCTTCAGCATACTTGTGAGATCTTCCATGTTGTCGCCTGTTGAGCGATCCAATCCAACTTAGCAACACTACAAACATGCAAGGTGCTAAGGTTGCTAATCATCAAAACACAAACCTCATGACATTATGCTACCACATATAAAATATGTTCTTCGTGGTGGTTTATATGTTTTCAAGCATTGTGCAGTTCATCCCATGCTATTTGTAGGCTTTAACACTTTGGTGAATATTATCCCTCGTTAGAATACTGATTACACGGAGGTATTTGTCGTAAGTATATCTTATTCAATGAGATAAAGAATATAGCGGACGAAAGTGGGCTATTGGCTAATAGGTAATAGCATATACCCAAATCCACAATTATGTTAAACTGATAAATAACCCTACTCCAAAATTCCTCAAGTTAAAAGATGCATACCAAGCATGCCCACATCTTGTGCTAGATGTTGGATCCATGTTAATCACATGTTGGAGCAATAGTGCTAATATATAGACTGCGCTAGACAAAGAAACAAATCTTCCTTTCCAAGATACTAGGTTTTAGCCCAAGAGGATACAATATCCTGTAGTGATGTTTGACTATAGGGACATGCAACATGACTAACATCTAAATATCTGGTTATTTAGGTGTGGCCTGGATTGGCAAAGAGAAGGCCCTTTCAAGGAGCGCCTTTGAGGTACCTTAGGATACATCGAACTGCATTTCCATGACTAGTGCAAGGAGAAGAGATACACAGACTAACCACACCAACCGAGAATGTGAAATTCCCTACTAGTCTCCTGGATCATTTAAGGGTGCTCCCTCCTTTAGACAATGAGATGATTAACTTTCCTTGCTCATCTTGGTGGTTAACCACTAGCCCACTACCGCCAACAACAGACAGAAGCCTCAATTCATCTCTGCAACCAACCCCCTCTTGTTGCTGCTGCCCTAAACTTCTTGGGCTTGCATCAGCCCTAGGTATATGTTCTCAATAAGTGGGCCTGTAGTAGTGGTTCAACTCTCATAGCATGGCCTGAGAAACATGCCAGCATGTGCTGCTGATTTATAGTCAGCTTGGCAACTGGTGTGTAACCACATCCTGTTTGAACAATCTTTGACCAAGGAGTAGAATGTTGATTATCCAGACATAGTTGTGGAACGCCATGGAGCCAGACATATAATCATGGACCACGACTTGTACAACCATGAAAATTTGTGGGAGGACTTGTAGATGTCATGCTCCTATGTTTTCATTTCTAATTTTTTTCCCTATCGCATGCCTATTTCATTCAAAATCTATTCGTTTAACACAAACAAATATGACTGACGAATGGGAAGCAAATCATAATGGCATCCTTAACATTGTGGAATGATATTAAACCAGATGTGTAATCAAGGACCTATCATTTATCTATACTATATTATAAAGCATTTGATAAAAACTCTTAAAAATCACTTTTTATACATAAAGTACTGTTTATTAATGCATATTACTTAAAACTTAAGATTGCAAGTAAATTGTGCGTAAGTACAACTTACTAAAGTTCCATATCTGGATTCATATAACTAACTGCAGATAAACATAATCAAATACATGATAAACATCTAATTTTAAATATA